AGCTGCCAGATGCTGAGCCGGGTGGCAGTGTCCCCTGGGTGTCCCCTGGGTGTCCCCTGGGTGTCCCTCACCAGCACTTTGCCATTGATGCACTGGGCCAGGGGCAGCCACTCGAAGACCTCGCTGAAGAGGGCGAACATCTGCGCCGTGTACTTGGCCTTCACCTCGCCCTCGAAGCCGTAGATCTGGTTCATGTTGTCCGTCTCGTGGTTCCCTGAGGGGACACGGGGACAGTGCCACTGCCGGGGACACTGCCGGGGCTGGGGACACTGCCTGGAGCTGGGGACACTGCCCAGGGACAATTGCCACTGCTGGGGACAACTGACACTCCTGGGGACACTGCCCGGGGCTGGGGACACTGCCCATGGACACTGCCACTCCTGGGGACACTGCCGGGGCTGGGGACACTGCCCAGGGTTGGGGACACTGCCCGGGGACACTGCCACTGCCAGGACACTGCCGGGGCTGGGGACACTGCCCGGGGACACTGCCACTGCCAGGGACACTGCCCGGGGCTGGGGACACTGCCCGGGGACACTGCCACTCCTGGGGACACTGCCGGGGCTGGGGACACTGCCCATGGACACTGCCACTGCCAGGGACACTGCCCAGGGCTGGGGACACTGCCAGGGCTGGGGACACTGCCCATGGACACTGCCACTCCTGGGGACACTGCCCAGGGCTGGGGACACTGCCCAGGGCTGGGGACACTGCCCGGGGACACAGACACTGCTGGGGACACTGCCCGGGGCTGGGGACACTGCCCAGGGACAATTGCCACTGCTGGGGACAACTGACACTCCTGGGGACACTGCCAGGGCTGGGGACACTGCCCAGGGTTGGGAACACTGCCCATGGACACTGCCACTGCTGGGGACAACTGCCACCCCTGGGGACACTGCCGGGGCTGGGAACACTGCCCAGGGACGACTACCACTGCTGGGGACAACTGCCACCCCTGGGGACACTGCCTGGGGACAGGGATGTCCCCAACCCCAATGGGACAGGAATGTCCCCACCCCAAGTGACAGGGATGTCCCCAACCTCAATGGGACAGGGATGTCAGCTCCCCCAAGGGGACAGGGATGTCCCCAACCCCAAGGGACAGGGATGTCCCCAACCCCAAGGGGACAGGGATGTCCCCAACCCCAAGGGACAGGGATGTCAGCTCCCCCAAGGGGACAGGGATGTCCCCAACCCCAAGGGATGTCCCCAACTCCAAGGGACAGGGATGGCATCAATGCCAAGGGGACATGGATGTCCCCAACCCCAAGGGATATCCCCAACTCCAAGGGACAGGGATGGCATCAATGCCAAGGGGACAGGGATGTCCCCAACCCCAAGGGGACATGGATGTCCCCAACCCCAAGGGGACAGGGACAGGACGGTGACAAACCCTCCCCTTTTTACCAAATCTGCCAGAAAGCGACCCACCCCATACAACAAGTGCTGCCAGATAGTGATCCAGAAGACAACTGGGGACACCAGGGGACAACTGGGGACACCAGGGGACAGCCGTGGGGACACCACCCTCCCACCCCAGCCGGGGGGGCTCCGACCTCGCCCCCCAGACCCTGGGACTACCTCGGAGCAGGTGGAAGTGCTCGGGGTAGAGCAGCTTGAAGCCGAAGAGCGTCAGGATGACCTCGACCGAGAAGGAGCCGCGGTCCACGAAGTCCCCGTTGAAAATCTGGCACCAGCTGAGGACAACGACCCCTCCCCGGGGTGTCCCCAGCGTGTCCCCCCGCCACCCCGACCCCGTGCCACCCCACCCCACCCCAGGGAATGCCCCCCAGGCGCGGATACGTAAGGGTTGGCCTCGGAGGGGAGCCCGTTGAGCTCGAAGATGTTCAGCAGGTCGTAGAACTGGCCGTGGGTGTCCCCGCACACCGTCACCTTCTCCGTCTGCCGGGGGACACGCGGCGGCACCGGTGTCACCGCGCCGGCACGCGGGGACACCCCCGAGGGCGCCCCGAGCCCGGCCGGGGGGACCCACCCACCTCTTTCAAGGTGGTCTCCACCAGGGTGGGCAGCTTGGCCAGCACCTCCTTCACCTGCACCAGGATCTGCGGGACACGTGGGGACACGTGGGGACACGTGGGGACGTTGTGGGGGGTTTTGGGGGGTTTTGGGGGGTTTTGGGGTACCTGGTAGGCACATTTCCTGTGGAGCTTCTTCTGGTCCTTGTACCACTGCATCAGGTCCTTCATGAAGGCCAAGGTCACCTTGCCGTCCTCCAGCTTGGGGCCGCTGTACTCGTCCTCGATGGCTGCGGGGACAAAGGGGTGACAGGGTGGGGACAGCG